TAGACCCGATTCGCGCCGTGATATTTCGAGATTCGTGCTTGGTGCTTGGACCGGTCGCAGCAGTCGACAGTGCGCTGGTGCAGCGCATCCAGAAGAGCTTCCACGATCGCCTGTGCGATGCCACCGATGCCGCCGTCGGCTTTGAATTCACGTGCGGCCGAGATGATCCAAAGTGTTGAGAGGCTGACAACACGGTGTCTCGGTGCCCATAGCGCGCTCGAAACGATTCTTGCGGCCAAGTGCCAGCTCCTTGCGGACGACCTGTACAAGCTGGGCGGCATCGGCCGGCAACAGTTGGAATGGATGGCCGCCGACGAAACCAACATGAGCGTGCTGGACAACCTGCGCATGGTGAAAAACGCGATGAGCGACCTGGAGCTGCAAGTGAACGCGTTTCGTCGCATGCTCATGGACATTCTCGACAGCGACGAAGAGCTGCACATGCTCCACTTGACCAAAGTCGGTGCCGCGTCCCTCGTGGCTCTCGTCCTGCCGTCGGCTGACTGTTTTTTTTCTAATTCCATTAGCTGCATCGCGACCCTGCCCTTGCGCTCGACCTGTTTGCTTTCGACACGGAAGAGGCCGAGTCGCTGCTCGAGACGTATTTGCAGGTGGGCCGTCATCGACCTCGCTGTGTTGTCGCGGCTAACCCAGCCTGAAGACCAACTATAGCACTGGGGCGGCCGTCGAATTGATGCTGTACAACATTCAAAACACCGAATCCATTGTGCTGATGAAGTTGGATGCCAAGCGCAACTACCTCATCGTTGTCGACCTCCTCCTGACCCTCGCCACGACCGCGATTGCCATCCCCAACTTTATCGTGAATGCGTTTGCGATGAACTTGGTCTCGGGCGTCAAACAACTCGACGGCATGTTTTGGACGCTGATCGCTGTCGCTGCTGCATGTCCCGTCGTGATGTACGTCGCGGCGCTGCGGCATCTTCGTAAAACCGGCGTCAACGTCACGATGCCAGCCAAGTAATCCCACATGGCCTAAGCTATATCGCTTTCTCTCTTTGTTGATTTTGTCTTGAGGCCCGACATGCGGGGCGGTTGTGTCGACTGCTCTCTCTCGCGATTTCCGACGGTGTCGCGATACGTACTGTACTACACAAGCGAACGTGCTGACGGCCCGTCCCACGTGCGCAATCAAAGGGAACTTTTACCCAGGTGCGTGTGGCGCAGAGCTAATGCACGTCCCACCATGGAACAAATGATTCCGCTGAGCGCATGGCGCCGTGGCACACTGAAACCTCTGCGGCGTTTGTCCAGCCCCAGCCCCTGTTTCCAGCCCACAATCAACGAGGCGCCACCCCCCCCCACGGCGGTAGCCACTGGATCGGCGAAAAAAGGCAAGCTGTAGTTGTCTCGCTGCCTATCTTCGCCTTCCCCCCGCATATTCTATGCAACTTCCATGTCCTGGCGCCATGGCCAAGGCGTCCAGGGGTGGCCGCCGCGCCACCCAACATGATGCGGCATGTTGAAGTGCCGTTGACCGGATACCGTTATCCGGTAGTTCGAACCTATCGCAAGCGAAACGGCAACCGTTGCCACATCGTTCGAACAAATGGCATACTAAAAAATCCGATGCGCCATCGACGCACATCGTTGTTGGGGCCGAGCCACTTTTCAACTTGACCATGCTCAGCACAACTGTTCGCACTACTTGGCTTGTTGGCCGCGCCGCCACCGCCTTCACCTGCCGACACCTCCATGCCACGAGGACCATCCTGGCTGCAGCCGACGTGGGCCACTTCAAGACCCACCCCAAGGCGGACGCTCATTTCACGCATCAGCCAAAACTGACCGAATGGGAAAACCCCATCCCGCACGCGATCTACACGGCCGATGAGGTGAACCAGATTCAGGAAACCCATCGCGATCCTGAGGAACTTCATGCCAAAGTCGCGCTGTGTGCCGTGCGACTCCTCCGCGGTGGATTCGATTTGGTCTCGCGCTACAAAGGCCCTGGTGGCGGCATGACGTCCACGGACTGGCTGCATCGGTGCCTCTTTCTTGAAACCGTGGCGGGTGTGCCCGGCATGGTGGCCGGAATGTCCCGCCACCTGCGTTCGCTGCGTACCATGAAGCGGGACCAAGGATGGATCCACACACTCTTGGAAGAAGCCGAGAACGAGCGCATGCACCTCTTAATCTTCATGACGATGAAGGCGCCGGGGTCGCTCTTCCGCCTCTTTGTCGTCGGCGGCCAAGGCGTGTTTTTCAACTTGTTCTTCGTGACGTACTTGATCTCACCCAAGACATGCCATCGCTTCGTGGGGTACTTGGAAGAAGAAGCCGTCCACACATACACCGCTCTCATTCAAGACATCGAGAACGGTCATGCCGGGACGTGGAAGACCGACGCCGCACCCGCGATCGGCCGCAAGTACTATCACCTGCCCGACGACGCCACCGTCTTGGATATGATCAAGTGCATTCGCGCGGATGAAGCCAACCATCGCGACGTCAACCACACGTTTGCCAACCTCGACAACGAAAAGGACGTGAACCCGTTCTTGCATGTTCATCGCAAATAGTTAAACGACAATGCGATGATGGAATAGATCTCTCTACGTATTCTCACAACTGGGATCGTCGAGTCATCGCTGGCTAGCTGGCTTGGCGGGTCCATCAACTCGCACAAAGCGACCGCGGTGGCTGGCTGTGCGACAACAGACCGCGCCCTGTCGCAGCCACCACGACAACAACGGCCACATTTCAATTGACCGCCAACGCATCTCCCAACAACCCCTCGCGATGGTGGACCGTGTCCCGCCCGCACAGCTTGTCCGATACATTACGAAGCAGCTCCATCATCAGACGAACCTCTCTTCCTCTCGAGTTGAAAAGCGAAGCCACGCAACCAGCGCCCCATCCACTGCCAAGAAGCCCCGGAAAGGTTCCCCTCCACGCTGGGAAAATCCGATTCGGCATCCGATGTATTCCGCCTCCGACGTCGATCATGTCGAGCAGACCCACCGTGAGCCGAGGACAATGGCCGAGCAGGCGGCGCATGTAGCGGTGCGTTTGCTGCGACGAGGGTTTGACTTTGTGTCGCAGTACAAGGGCGCAGGTGGCGGCATGACGCGTCAAGACTGGCTGAACCGATGCATCTTTTTGGAAACGATCGCGGGCGTCCCTGGCATAGTCGCAGGAATGATACGCCACTTGCGGTCCCTTCGCAACATGGAACGGGATCGAGGATGGATTCACACACACATGGAGGAAGCCGAGAACGAGCGCATGCACCTGCTCATCTTCATGGCGATGAAAGATCCCGGGTTGTTGCTCCGATTCCTCGTGAAGGGGGGGCAAGGTGTGTTTTTCACGTTGTTTTTCGCGTCGTACGTGGCGTCGCCCACGACGTGCCATCGATTCGTGGGGTACATGGAAGAAGAAGCCATACACACATACACTACCATGATTCAAGACATCGAAGGTGGCAGCGTGATGTCATGGAAGGATGAACCTGCCCCCGTCATCGCCCGCGACTACTACCACTTGGCGAATGATGCTACCGTCGTCGACATGATCAAGTGCATTCGCGCCGACGAAACGCATCACCGCGATGTCAACCACACGTTGGCTGACTTGGACTGGCACAACGATGCGAATCCGTTTCTTCCGTGGCCGAAGGACAAGTAGATTCGCATGTGCCTTCGATGGGACTGCCATCATCAGTTGGCCAAGGACACGAATACTTTGCCACCGAGTAATGCATCCACACCGATGAAGGTGCTTTGCACCATGTTAGCCTCATCCAACACAGGTAATCGACTGCCCCCACACGTTAGAGAGGTTGCCTTGCCCTCGACGTGACCTCGCCCCCGCCTTGATAGCAAACTAGTACATCCTATCGACGTCGAAAACATGGCCGTGACGAGCCCGCGACGAAGCTGCCGCTGTTTGCGAGTCTGTGGGTAACAATGCACAACGATGCGATTCCATTTTCCCAGCACATCTCGTCATAGG